GCCCGCTCGCGAAGAAGGTATCCCGGCTCGCGAGGATCCGCGGCGCGACGACGCCGGCGCGGCTGACGAACTCGCTCAACTTCCGCACCGCGTCCTCGTAGCCGTGGCGGTAGACGGTGCCGTACACCCCAATCAGCTCCAACGCGACGCCGCGGAGGTCGAGCGTCGGCAACGTCGTGTTGCTTTTGCTGATCAACTCGTCAATCTCGTAGATGCGGCGTTGCAGCTCCAGGCTATCACACGCGCAGCGCTGCAGGAATTTCTGCATGATCTTGCGAAACGCCAACAGGTTCAGCTCGCGGTACTTTAACACGCACTCGAGCTGGAGGTAGATGCGCGGGATGTAATCCGGCGGCGTCGCCTCCCGAAGCGTTACCTCCGTCAGTTTGTGAAGTTCCACCATCTGAAGCATGATCTTCTTCTCCAGCCCGATGAGGAAGGATTTCACCTTGCGATAAGATTTTTCGAGCTCTTGGAAAAACCGCTCCTGCACGGTCTCCCGCTTCACCCGGAGGCTGACGAAGACGGGATCGTTTTTGAGAATTTCTTTGGTGTAATTCACCCCAAATGGGGAGAGCCGCCCGGAGTTTATGGGGGTGCTGGAATCCTTCTTGCATTGCGGGACGACGCCAACCTTCATGGCCGTCACCTCGTCGCCGGCTTGACGGTTGCAGGGAAGCGATGGAAGTCCTTCCACCATGGGCGAGTGTTTCACACTGCTGTCCGGGGAGAACGCGGTGGTTTCGTTGCTTTTCAAGGCCTGCTCGATGCATTCCTTCTTCCGTGCCTCCCCTTCCAAACGAAGATGCTCGGCCTCCTTCACCAACTTCTTCAGATCGTAATAGGAGACGTAGTTTTCAAGGGTGTACTCCGCGATATACTCACTCAGGAGTCGGCGACGGAAGGACTGACCTTCGGAAATGGGCTTACCGGTTTTAAGCATCTTGCCTTCAATTAACCACGCACACGAAAAAAAGAAAAACTAGGTACTAACTCAATCGTATCCACGAGGTCCAATTTAGGCTTCTTATGACAATTCACTGATTAATCAATCGATCGATATGCATATACAGGTTTATATATCTATATTTATATATTCTGAAGAGAACAAATAGGATCGGATGAGAAGCGAGATCGCCTTGCCAACGGATGCGCACAGGGTAGATAGAAATCAAAAAAAGATACGCGGCATGCTATTGCCATCCTCAGTTGTAAAAGATGATGGTTCTACCGCAAGACCAAACCTTTGAGGATTCACCTTGATTGGTTTGGATCCCATTTCTGAAGTACAAGACACACACGCCCACACGTTTCTTTCACCACTGTTTCATTTTGAAAGCATCATAATAATTAACTATTATCACAACAAAATAACATGGAATCAAGGTAGGAGGAAACGAAGCTTGATAAAGGGGGGGAAAAAGAGATATAGCAGTAAAAATAGGAAAGAACCCTTATGATACGAGAAAATTAACGACATCAAGGAAGTGGATGACGAATTAACAGCAACAAAGGTGAAACTGCGTTGATGTAAATCAAAAACAAGAGGCTTCACTTGACTTTGTATATTTAGTCTTTATACACAGATAATGGGGAGTAGAAAAGAAAAAGAAGCGCGTGAAAAGCAAAAAAAGGAAAGTAGATTCTCACAAGTAATCCAAAACACATGTCGAACGCGGCTCACATCCGCTTTCATCGCCCCAAAGTCCTGCTTTCGAGAGGTTCACACGACGATTGGCGTTTTGATTTTGTTCGTTTAAAAAAACGCATTCAGCGTACGTCAATCGCAACTGATCTACACCCCTGGGCAACACCGATAAATCCCCCATGAATACCTCTGCGGTTTCCCCCGGAGGCCGCAGAAACAGACGACGAAGCCACGTCTCGAGGGAAATTTTCCGGTTTGCAATCAAATCCCCCTTTTCTTCCGAATTGCTTCGACGTTTGACGTTATTTAAGGGATCCACCGCTTCGTTCTCAGGGCGGGGGAGGTATTGCGCCCACAGTTGCGTAAAAAGGTTCCCGCTGGAGGGTTCTTCAAAGGCGGCTGCAGCGGCGGGGCGCGCGCTGAAACCGTTTTTTTCCCGATTTTCCTCCACTTTTCCCCTTTCCAGGGGGATTTCCGATAACGAAGTCGCCTCCAGCGCGCGCCGTGCGGCGTCGTAGGCGAGGGTAAGAAGCTGCCGTTGGAGCATCCGCTTTTTTTCCTCCCTTCTGCTCGCCTTTGCGAGGTGGTGAATCGCGAACGAAACCTCCGACGAAGAGGCTTCAGGCCGAGGCTGTTGTCGCGGGATTCGATCTCGACTGCTCTTTGGGTGAACCATCGCGATCCTTTCACGGGGTGAACACTTGCAAGATAACCTTAATGATACTTCCGCGATGAATTCAGTCCCAAGAGAATTGAAGAGGACGGGAGGGAAAATGAATCAAGCGCACCTTAGCGTGAGAAGAACTATCGTAAAGCCATCATCACGGCAGCTCAGTGGAACATACACACACACACACATATATATATATATATATACACGCAGAAAAAATACAATTGCTTTCTTAAAACGCTCATCCGAACAATAAGCCCTAAGAGTGCACATTTATATCCAAGTTGGAAAATCCACTGCGAAAAGTTATTCTGCGACCAGTTTTCCATCTTCTCCCTACATTGGTCGTTTTTCTCCTTTTGGCAACCCTCCTTCGCGTTCGTGATGGAGGGTGTTCCTATATATCAATCTCAAATACCGAGAATTCCCCTCCGCCTTTTCAATCCAACTTCTTCTGCCATCATCTAGACGATTAACGCTTTTTCGCTTCCTCACGTTTATCAAAACGCTCTATTCGCGACCCCCCCCTTTTTTTATTTCTACGGGGTGGATAACACGACGGAAACGGATCCAGCCCCCATCCAGGCCCCTTTATCATCCTTGACGGCCTGCTTTTCCCCTTTTGGTTGGGTTCCCTCGAGGTAAATCGGCAGCTCGGCGAAAATCCCCGCCCATCCGAGCACGTCAACCCCCTCGCCGTCGTCATCGACGATATTATCCAACAGCGACGACGGCGCGTGGCCGCCCACCGCGGTGTTTGCCGGCATTTGAAAGAATTTCTTTGGATTTAAAACCCGCTCCACCACCGGCAACCCCTTCGGCGAAATCGAAGACGACAAAACCGCCGCGCGAGAAGGGGAATTGGGAGAAAAAGGAAGAGGCACCGTTCCGATCCGAACCCGCATCGGCTGCATGGAGAGAAAATGATGGAAAAAAGGCGCGGAGGCCGTCGTGCGGGGCGCCCGCGCGGCGGAGGTCGACGGCGGCGTGGGCGGGATCTCCGGAAAAAGTGAAAGTGCGGGTTTCGCGAGGAGCTCCTCCACACGGAGGGCAACGCGAGCAGATTTCGCGCTCGATCCCCGTCCTTTCCCTTTTCCTTTTCCGCTTTTTTCGGTTGCCCCCCTTTTCTCCTTTTCTTCCGCGGCGTCGAGCCCCCAACGCGGGCGTTTTCGCGCAGGGGTGGGGGTGGAAAACCCCTCCGCGGCGGCCACCCGCCCCCCTTCGTCAAGTGGGATTTCCTCCACGATCGCCTCCTCCTCACTCGCGGCGGAGAAGTTTGAATAACGCGCGAGAAGATGTGCGGGAGGGGGGGCCTCCCCGGAGGGGATTTCCTCGCGCTCCGTCGAGAGTCTTGTTTCCTCCTCTTCCTCCGCGATTTTCTCTTCTGTGGTGCGTCGCGTGCGTTGCGAAGACGTAAACACGGATGAAACATGCACCACCCGTTTGGTCTCGCGGTGTTGCGTTTCGACCAAACGATGAGGCCCTCCTGAGTGAAAAGGGTGATCGTTATTTGTACCCTCCTCGGACGTGGCAGTGGGGGGAGGAAACACCCCGGATGAAAATTTCGGAAGCTCTTGGCTGCTTACCGGCTGCGCTACGCCTTTCGCGAATTCGCTCGTGGAGATAACATGGGGACTTGGTAGCTGCGTTGAGGGCTTTTCTTCGCGTTTTTTGCTTTTGCTGGGCATGTATATATATATATATATATATGTATGTATGTATAGGTGTAAAAAGTTTGTTGTTTGATTTTTTTAAAATTCTTGCAAACTTCTATATGCTATCAATTCTCCCTTCACTCCTTATTGACAAACACGATGAATAGGATAAATAGATAAACAGTCCTCAAGCTAAAACGGTGCAGCTTTCTTAGATTGCATACATACATACACTTAGTTCCATGAAGAATACATCTTATTCATAGCTTTATTCACGTATAAGTCTAAATATGAAACAGAGCACCTTAAATCACTTAATTGTTGCATATCATATGTAACATGACTTTTTTGACTCCACTCCTTTCTTTTTTATGAATCACATCCTTGAGTTTCGTTTGTCCGACTCACTTTTTATAATGTTGTCAAACCACTATGCATCAATTGAAGAGAAAGACCCTTCGATATTGATAAAGCTTTATTGATTTGTTTCCCTTTGCTTTTCTTGTTTACTGCATGCCAGGCACCTGCCCGCTCCCATGAGGGTTATTCGAGGACTGCATGTAGGAAGCCATCTGCGCCCAAATCGCGGCGGCATCGCGAATATCATCCTCGGAGGGTGGAATCCCGGCGTTCATCTTCGCCAGCATCCGGTTGATATTTTCCTGCATCGTTCGACTCCCCTCCGCCTCTGCGAACGCGGGGGGAAACGAAAGAGAAGAAGAGGAAGTCGGAAAAGAAGGCGCATCGCCGGGAGCGGAGGTGGCGTGCTCGAGAAATCGAATGTGCGATTCGATCGCCACGCACATCTTTGTGATGAGCGCCTCCGTTTCATCATCAGGGTAATCCTCGACGGCGGTGTGCAATGCCCGCACAATCGCGGCGCCCTTTTCGGGATCGTTGTGTTCTTCAATTTCTTTTCCACCGTCGCTTTTCGCGCACGCGGGGAGATTCATGAAGAATTCCGCCTGAACCGCTTCGTAAAGGTCGATAAGCTCGTCCTCTGTCCGTTTTGCCGGATGCTCCTCGCATTGCCGCTTCGCCGCGGCGAGAACGCTGTTGGAGGTGCGCAGATCGTGGAGGAAGGCCCCTACGTAGGCATGAACCTCCTCACGCGAGAGCTTCAACGGCGCTTCCACGCTAGTCATCTCGTGTTTTTAACGGAATTGCCTTTGTTTTTCTTTTTTTTTGAGTAGGGGGGGGGGGAGGGGGGATAAAGACTAAGATCCTTACGTGTGATAGGGGTTTGAATAGACTCAAGAAAGGTTTGGGAGAGAGTTTATGAAAAAGGTTTCATTGATAACCATGAGTGAAAATCCTTCTCCGACAAGTTGTGCTATCCTGCCGGTGTGAAGTTTATTTTGAAGTATTAGCAAACGTCCGTGAATCCGAAGCATGATCAAAAACACCGTCTGTATGTTCTTTCCCATATTTCAGCCACCAAACGCTTCTTGTTCATTGTCAAAAGAAAAATAGCTCAATAATGATCCAATTCAGATATTGGCGCCTCATTTTTCTAATTCATTCACCATTAATAAGAATCCTTCTATATTAATCATGCGAAGAGTTCATTTTCCTTTTTAGATATATTGCAGTTACCATTATATTCTTTCCCTCTTTTTATGGATATTTTTAATTTTGACCACAAATCCGTTTGGACACAAAAACAAACCAGTTTTCGAAAAAAGGGCCGAGAGGAGATCTATTGTCATAATTCATAAATAAAAGGAAAGGGACGCAATCGCACAACCAAACATGTCTTCTCGCTCTTTCTTTAATCCTCCATCGGTATTGTTTATTCTTCTTGTGTGTTTTTGTGAAACCTCCAGATATTTTTCAAACGTATCATTTTATTTGGAGATATATCAAACCCATAGCAAACCCACGTTCGTAGAAATCCCACATCTAGAAGGAGGCACCTCCTGTTTGCTCGACCATAGCATCGATGATATCATCATCCGTCATCTTCAGACTGTCAGGCGTGTTCATGTCATCAATTACCATGCCTTCAAACAAAAAGCGAATGCTGTTGCGTGAGATGCTCTGGCGATTGCAGTAGGCATCGAATAGCTTGCGGAGCTGCGTTCCACGTTTGATTTTGAAAAACATCTCCGCACCGTCCGCGTTGACGACTTTTAGAGAAATTTGCTTCTGAGGAGGAGGAACTCCGTTGGCTTCTTCCGATTTAACATTTCCCGCAGACCCTTCCGAGGCGTTATTCTGCGGGGAACGCGTTTCATCGGCGCTATTGCTGGGGTAGTTCTTGTTGCTACCTTGCGAATCCTCACGTGCGTCTGCCATTTTTTCTTCGTGAAACTTTTCTTTTTTTTAAAAGTAACGTTTAATCTCTATTGTATGATTATATGATTTTTTTCCTTGGTTGAATTTAAATTGTATGAGAATGGAAAAACGTTTCTATATACGCGGTTTAGCTTTTTAGGGGTATACCGTTGAAGACCTCTCTAAAGACAGCACCACATACGGATAATAGGTGAAATGAATGAAAGGAGTATTCGCATGAGCAGCCCCGTTACATTGGGTTCAAGTTATAATGTATTTCGCACCTTCTACCCTTTTTGATTATTATTCTGCTTTGTTGTTGACTGACACATGGGCAACATCATCTTATGTGTAAGACTATTTCTGCAGTTTCCAAACATCTTCCTTTATTTTCTACCTCATCACTTGACTTCATTTGTATTCATTTGCTTATGCAAATACAAAAAAATTACACCCTAGTGGTGGCTAAAAATGAGAAGATTGAAATAAAAATATTCTTACAATATACACATCCTTGTTGATGACAACACGCCTATTTTATATTCTTCGTGTTTTCCATACATTCAGCGTATTAACAGTATTCGATGACGCCATGTAAAAGTCAATTCATTGCTTTTACCAGAACACATGCACTCAAAGTGTCTGTATTTCTAGATGTTATGCGTGCATTCTAAAAATATTATATACACATATGAAGCTTGTTCATAATGTTGATTCAAAGGATAAAAAAGTTTAGTTATGAAAGATTTATAAGGAAAGAAGTAGGAAATTTAATCAGTTTCTGCTTGGCATTTCTTCACCAGAGTGATAAAAACGTAATTGTTATCACGTTTCAAGTTCATAATGGAGCTATTCCTTGCCTTTTCTTACTCCCTCGCACAGTCGCAACTTTCTTCGCCTGCAAACAACGATGCCTTCCTGTAGCACTCCTTCTCTTTCCTTCAAATTCAAAATGCCTTTTAACTCGAATTTTTGCCTTGTATGGTGGCGATTTAATTTGATTCGCGGCGAGTATTGACATTTTCACCCTAAACGGCGCGCCTTTCGATCGATATATGCGTTCGAGCTTACAGGCTGACGTAACAACCACTGCAAGGGAAGGAGAGTGTAGACAAGCCCATAGTAATTGGGTAAAATAAGAGAATATGCATTTCCCTGTCCTTTGAGGTATTATGTTGAGGATAAGATCTAGTCTGTGGAGGGGGAAATGGTTTTATGGGCGAATAAGTGAAATAGTAGACGGGTTAGTTATGCATTCAAGAATATCAACTCTCTGTTCCCCTTTCCAAAGGGGATCATGACAAAAGCATATCCAACGCATGTTCACTCGCACCCCCAAAGAAAGAAATAGGATATTCCCCCTTGATCAAGGTTATTACCAAAGAGAAAAAGATAAGAGATTCACACACTTCCCGACCGCAGCCATCCCCTACTATCCTCGTTATGCCCTTCCGGAAGCTCTTCCTTCCCCCCCTTATCGGCGTTAATCCATGCTCGTTATGAGGAAAAACCCGATCAGCCCCATGGAGATGTATTTGACAATCGCCACCTCGTTAAACATAATCGTCGCGTAGCCAAAGAAGGATAACTTGGCGAAGACCTTCCCCACAATCGCCTCCCCGCTGATAAACTCCATCGCGCTGTCGTAGAGCGCGCGGTCATTCCAGTGGTTGTTATCCCCTTTAGTGAGATAAAACTGCTTGCCATCGATCTCCCGTCGATGCCAGGTGATCACGCGATGGACGATCGGAATTTCTCTTCCTTCCAGGCGATAAACGATGATATCCCCCGCGCGCACCTCCGAGGATGGGCGGCGATGCACCGTAATGAAATCCCCCCGCCGGTAGCCCGGCTCCATGCTCCCGCTAATCACCACCACCGCCCCGTGCTCACTCCCCGTCAGCCCCGTGAAGAAACTCCACACTACCATTGAAACGGTGAAGAAGAAGGAAATAAAGTACGCCTTCTCCACATAATCGCGGAGGCGCATGGAGGTTAACATGTTGATTTGCTCCCGCATTATCTCGTCTTACCTTTATTCGTATTCCTATTTTAAATAATAATAGTAATGATAACAACTAATGATAATTTTCCCCCCTTTTTTTTCCTCTATGGGAGAAAAACAATGTTGTTGGGTGTTACCTTACGCTTTTTTTTTTTAAGTCGAATACTTGGACTTTATTGCTGGTCTTTTGAATCTTCAAAAAAAAAAGATGATCCCACAAAGACTACCCCTTGTCCTCTTTTATTCGTCGCTTAGTCTTTCCCTCCTTTTATCACCTTTTCAATATTGAAAATGGAAAGGGAAGAATGCAAGAGGAGGAAGAAAGCGGATGAGGAGCATTGATCCCATGGTAAATAATCCCTTCTGCGGACACACGTGAGTGCAAATAGAGTAGTATTCATTATCGTGCATGTTAGTGCAAAATCATAGGCTTAGAAACTTAACATTATTATCCGCATATTAAATCGATTAATCGCCCCGCTTTGCGGCGGATATAAACCAACCTCACAACAACAGACACTCCCATACACCGATAATTCAAAAAAAGAAACGATCTTATATTATTTTAAAGATATCCGATGTGTCCGGAATGTTTAATCGATTTTATATTTGTAAACAAACAACAACAACAACAACAACCGAAGGGAAGTCTCCCGGTCTTATAGCAAACTTCTGCGGATGCCGCTGTTCCTTCGCGGATTCACCTCCGCATCCTTTCCTGTCAACAAAGAGGGCGGAGCCAAGAAAACCAAGCCTGAGGGGACTCTTCCCCTCATGATGATTCACAACCCTCCCTTCCCCTTCCCCTTCCCCTTCCCCTCCCCCCTTCCTCCACCTCTTTTTTCCTTATCGGTTCATTTTTTCTTATCTTTTTGGTTGCCAGGGGGTTTTATTCAACCCGAAAGAGATGGCGTTTTTCCGTGAGGGCGGTGCGCACGCGATCGCCGCCGCTGCCGATCGCGGCCTCCTCCTCCTCGAGCCGCACCACCGCCTGGCGGAGCAGCGCGCGGGCGTCGTCGTCGGCGAGGGCCGTGAACGCGAGGTCGAGCAGCGTCGCCCGCGAGGGCCCCACCGGGCGGATCGAAACCCCCGCGTGAAAGGCGATCGGCGCCGCGCGCGCGCGTGGGAGGCGATGCCGCGCGCACATCCG